CGAAATTAAATAAAAAGGGATGTATTGTAAGGCTATAAAGGACCATTGTGCAGGTATCTAAGAAAAAGAGACCAACTAGAGCTGGGGCTAAAAGTGAACCTGAAGGTCATGCTCAGGGCTTATTCTTGCTATCTCTCAAATGCCATGTGTTTTCTATCATCCTCGTTTCTCTCTTCTCCACTCTCAAGCAGCTTCCTCTGCTTGCCACTGGTACCCCACCCCTTACACTCATGACTATTTCAATGCCAACCATCATCTAACAAATATTTCCATGTCTCCATTCAAATGAGAGAAAGAGAAAGAGATCTGAATGTTACTTATACTTTCTTGTAGAGATTCTAAGGAAGATGATATTAGTGATAGTTCCTTGTTTACTGAATGGAATGAAGAATACGGAAATATAAGATTTCATAAGGAAAGAAAATTTAAGTTGTTCTGGGAGAGAGAAGGGAAAGTTAAGAGAGAGAAGAATTGTCTTGGTAGCCAGTAAGAAACTTGATGAGTCATTGAGAAGAACGTAAGTGTTTAATCAAGACTTTTGTTAACTTTTGTTGTTTATTGTGTAATGTAATTCTCTTTTTCGTTTCCTCATCAAATCTTCTGTAATATCTATTTTTGCTACCTTCTGTATGGTCAAGAATGCCTTCTGGGAACTGTGGGTAAGTGTTAAGATAAGGTTGAGAGCAGAGAGGTCCCACTCCACTCAGTCACACCTGCAGGACAGAACAGGGACCCGGACTCCTTAGCTTCCCACCTCAGCTTTCCATGATTTAGCACACATCTACTTTTCCAGTTGCCTTTCCTAGAAGTCATCCTCATATACCCAAAGTCCAGCTCGGATGAAGTGGTTTCCAGATTCTCCTTGTTTTTTCTTACTGCTGTGACTTTGCTCATGTTATCCTACCTCTTCATCAAAAATTCATTTCAGCAATTCCAAAAATTACTCTCCATCAAGACCCAACCCAAATGCTACTTTTCCCAGCTGAAATTGACTTCTTCTTCTCAACTTTTACAGCACTTGGTTAAGGACTCATACAATACTTCTATCACATCTGCCTTGTACTAAACTTAGTGATTGTATGTTTCACTTACCTGAATAGAGTGGAAGCAACATCTTGCTCATCTCTCAGATTCTGCACAGACATCAGGCTCAGTGCATGGCACATATGAGCATTCAGTAAAGGTTTCTCAAATAAAAAGGTCAGTAGCTCAGTTCAATGTGTGTTTTGCACAGAGTATGTTCTATCCAGATTTTTATAGTGTAGTACTAGAAAATAGCAGGTTAAAATATGTGCACTTAAATGCATTTTCATGATGAAGATATGTTGGCTCCTTGCTGATAGAGTAATGAGCTTTCCTTTACCTACCACATAGTCTGTCCTGAAGATAAATAAGAACATGAACCCGCAAACACTTTGGGAAGTAAAAACACGCCATATTGATAGATATTGTTTATTTCTGTAGCTACTGTATGGAGTAGGATCCCTGTGACTCAACGTTTCTCTGCACTGTGGGTAATCATGATAGTCTAGGTTAATCTGAATCCTCCAAGTCAACACTACTAGAATTGTGAACCATGGACTGGTGCTAATCCATGAACTGCTACTGGTCTATAATGAGATAAATGGAAACATTGGGAATAAGCATCTTAGCAACTTTTTATAGCCATTCAACAGAACAATATGATTACCGAATTTAAGAATAAAAATGTGGCCTATTTCTATATGCCTATGTTTTATTAATTTTACCTTGCCAGCAATTCATTTTCATTGTTGTACAATAGAATTGATCCACAACACATTGCAAACAAAAACAAAACATCACAAAGTTTGAGAAGCACTGCTCTAAGTAATTCTTTCCAGAATGGAAAATACCCACATTCTGTCCATGGGAGTGTTGGGAGAGAAGAGGAACATGAAACTTAGAGGTACTATAAAATACTAGTATCAACAAAAGTTGGTATAAAACAACGATATAGTGAATGGTAGTAAGAAAAAAACATCTGAAATGACAGTTCTGACTTGTACTGTTCGTTTTGATCAAGCTCTTTCTAAAACCCTTGGTGCATCTTTAACAATCCTCTTTGCAGACTTCTCTCTCTAGAAAGTGATCTTACATTCTGGAACTTCTAGAGAAAATTACATTCTCTCCTACTGTTAATTGAATTTGGGGGTGGTTTTTGCTTGAAGAAAACATCTATGCACCCCTTTAATTAACAAATAATAATTAATAATAATTTCCCAGTCATCTGTAAGTCTTCTCCATGAAAAATTCTTTCAGGAAGTCAATAAGTCAATGCCTTTATAACACAACTGAGCTTGGGTAATATTCCTTTGATTTTTAACCAATTTGACATTTTCATGGAAAGTCTTCTTAACACGGGTCAGGATGATATTTTGAGCAAATAATATGTGGTTCTCATTGTCAAAGCGTCTTGTTTATCCAGATTGCCAAGATAGTAAGTTTCACATGGGTTTAGAATATGTTCTAAAGATTTCTCATACTATTGAAAATAATATTTGCCAGTGTCTTAAAATTTAATATTCATGAAATATGTCACAGATTTTGATTTCCACAATCTTGGATTCAATATTTAGATCACAAAACCAGAGGGCAGGGACTGGATTCAATGTCAGGTTTTGGGTGGTGTTATGCCACGGTGGGGTTGCTCAGAAACAGTTCTTAATGCTTAGGAGGTGGAGTCCTTGACATGGCAACAATCTAGGCAGAACAGGAGGGTTTTTTGATCCATTTCTGTTTTCTTTCCTTCTCCTGGTAGGCAAATCCTGCCCCAGACTGCTCAGGTCCTTTATGAACTGAAATTGGGAACCTGGACTAGGCCTGTCTTCTGGTCTTCTGGGATGTGCTCTCTAGCTCTATCGCTTACCTCCTACTTTTCAGATTCTAATTATCTTGACTCATTTTGCAAAGTAACCTATATTTATTCTAGCCTTCTTTTTTTTAAAAGGAATTGGTATGTTTTATAAAGCTGATAATTCTCCAATAAAAAGAAAATCAGCTTCCTGTTAACTAAATCGCTTTATATAATATATTAATATCAAAATTTGTTCTAAATGATGTGTATTTACAGTTACTTCTTGTGTAACTGTTGGGGGTGGGTAAAGAAAGTCTAGGTTACATCCACTAGAAGCTCTGAAAGCTTTGTCAACTTTTAAAATTCTTTATTTCAGTAGCATAGACTTAAATCCAAGGATACAGTTTTGAAAGGATGAGATAGCTCTTGATTTTTCACCTCATCTTCGCCTCTTGATCTTGCTATCTTAGGAATCCTTGATGGGTCTTTCGTGAATGTCTTTCCAGTCTGATTTTGCTCAAGACTCGGACCCTAAACCATGTCATATCTTTCATACACTTTCTTCAGCCATGAGTTTAGGCGCAGCTGCTCCAGAATGCTCTCTCCACCTGTACACCCCTGGCCCTAAGGACATTTCTAGCCTCCCCAATTCATCAGGCCATCCCTCACTAGCCATCTCATTCTCCTGCCTCTACTGTTGCTTGCAATGACAAATCTGTCACTTTCGATCCTAGATTTTTCTCTCCACCTGCTTAGATATAATGTTATAATCTTCCTTTATCTTTCTCTCTGCCCTTGTCAAAAATTCAGCCTCCTTAAACACATAGGAGCTAGTTCCGTCTCCACCATCATCCAGTTCCTCCTTTTCTTTTAAATTCATCTCTACTCCCAAACGCAGTTCTGGCTCCACGTGCTTGGGAGGGAAATCCAGACACCTTGAAATATTATCAATGAGACCAAGCCTGAGCATTTAATGACTTCAACAGTGGCCAACCTTTTTCTGGCTCCTTCCTATAGTTCCCTCTTGTCCTTGGTTAAATTGTGAGTCCTGTTTTGCTGAATGTAGTTGCATTAGCAGCATTGCTTTATCTACACCTGACTGCGTACTAGAACTTTAACTCTGGAAAATCATGCCCCAAAGGAAGGAAGCGGAGAGTCAGGCAAGCCTGATGCGTCTTACTGCTCATTGACGAAGTGCTTCCAGTATGCTTCCATCATCTCTGCTTATCTACTCTTGACTTTTAAAAAAGGTGCCAATTCAGAAACCCAAGATACCATTTCCCACTGTACTTACCACTTTCTGCCCTCTGAGTCTGATGTCTGTACCTTGCCCTGAATTACACTCCTCCTGTTGGCATCCTATGTCAGTATTTCACTTGGCACCAGCAGCAGCTGCTCCCTATGGCAAAGCAGCTGTGAAAGCTGATCAGCCAGGATTTTTCACTTGAGTCAGTTTAAACTGAGCACACAAAGATGTGGCAGACATAACTAAACACGTTTTCTAGCCATTTCTTTCAAATTTACCGTCTTAGCCTTATGCTTAGAGCAGTATGTTTGGTCTGTGCCTTGGGTATTAGGAAGAATACCAAAAGCCTCCTGTCACCGATAACACCCTTTTCCACATTCACCCTTTGAATCTTAATGAATTTTTTGAGAACAGATAGAATTGACTTCCCCAGGGTCTGGCTTCTCTCTCAGTGGGTGACACTATAACACATTTCATCTTTTTGAAGTGAGCAATCTGTCAGTTTCAACACATCATTTCTCTTTTCCTCCCATATTTACATCTGTAGCCAAAATGGATTCTTTTCACTTACCAGCAACTCTCAAAAAAATAGGTCATTTATCCATCTATCTACCCACTTACCTACTTATTTATTTAATATACTCACTGCCTTATCATCTGTGTTTTGAATGATTCCGTACCCTTTCTCTTCTACTCCCCCTGAACCTATCCGTTTGACTCTTCTTTCATTCAACCTTGTAGCTCCTCTCCTGCTTGCTTTCACCAGGCTACCTGACTGTCTTGCTTTGCAGTTTGCTCCCTTTTCTGTCTGTCCCTGTCCGACTAGGCGAACATAATCCTGTTTGATTGAGCCTTTCCTTTTATTATCCACTACCATGTGTGAGCCTTGTTTCTGATTGGATGCCATCTCTGAGCTGCTGCTCCTCTACACCTATACAGACATCAACTGTGAATGGAAATGGAACTGGATCCTGTCTACCATTGTCTTCTTGGGAAAGATACTTCATAGGATCCCCAGGGTCCCATATCTATGTTTACATCGTGCTTACACAAGGTGGGCCATCTTCTAAGTGCTCCATACAAAGGAACTTATTGAATCTTTACAGCGCCAGGAGATATGGAGCATTCTTACCCCTACTCACAGGTAAGAGGCACACAGGGATAAATGGCTTACTGGTCACACAACATGTCAGTGAGAAACCAGGCTCGACCAGGCAGTTTGGCCCCAGAGCCTGTGTTCCTAACCACCATGCCCCAAAATAGTGTTTCGACATCTAATATTTCCACTTTCCATCTCTTCTCCATGTCCTCTGAACTTCTACAATGTCAGGCTTCTCATTTGGCCATATTCTGACAAACCAGGAGAAAATAAAGATCCTCTATTGCACTCATGAAATCTCATGACTTCCTCTTTACTCACCACACTTTCATTTCTTTGAGCAAATTGAACTCAATTCCTTTATCTCCATTGCCTTCCTCCAGCATCTTGCCTCCGAGTCACTTTACTGAACATAGACAGACATTTGTAATCCTCTTACCCATGTTTCCTGCCGTGAGGGACAGCTTCAGGGAGAGCACAGTCTCCTCTGAGGATGCTCACAGCCCTCGTCTGAGCTCCCAACTCTTGAGAGTCTAGAATGAAATTTCTTATTTTCCTCGTTGAGTCATTTGGTGACCATTACACAATTTGGGTTATTTTAAAGCACAGAGCACTGTTTGTAATCCTTCACCTTCTCAATCAGGGCTGAAATTCAAGCACATAATAAGGCAGACTCTTAACCAGAACAGCTGGTATGGCAGCAAAGGAAGGAACATGAGAAATGGCATGAATTTAAACATTTTAAATGACTGAATAAAATGTTTAATTTTCAAAACATGAAAATCTGAACTTGATGATCCCATAGCCATATGTTGAGCAAAGGTTTAGCGACATGAACTGAAAAGTTTTGGCCTGATGTCAAGCTACAAAACTCATTCTCCTACAATGTTGGAACCCCTCTTTTCTACTTTACCTGTGTTTTTATGATGAATAGCATGGACTTAGACGGTCATAGTGAGAAGTGAGCCTTGATTCCTCTTTTGCTTTACCTCGCCTTTCCAGACCAGCAACTTAAAACCCTTCTTTCTCTAGTTTCCAAAGCCAAGGAGTCCTGGCCCCTGACACTTCTCTGACTTCATCTTTCTGCCTCACCCACACACTCTGCCCCACTAACCTGCCTTCTCTTGCATGACCATTCTCAAGTCATTTTTTCCTGCACTACACATCACAAATCATTGCCTGTCCCCATCCCTCCCTTTCTCAGGTGTGCTCACACAGTTATAACAATGAAGAGTACATCTGCAGTGCAAATTCACACTGAGAAAGACTTGTCTCTTCCACTGACAAGCCCTCCTTGGCTGGGTGGCACTGGTCTTTGGGATCTTATGAGTATGAGCCCTAAACAACCAGCAGAAAGGTTTAAAAAAGGTTACCTGGCATCTAGTAGACAAAAACTTTCTGTTCTATTATAGAAATCTTCTACATCAGTGTCCGTGAGTAGAGATTTCTTTTTCCTTTGCAACTAACTTGAATTAGATATCATATATTTATCATTTCCCTACCTCTTCATTTCAGCATGAAAATATAACTGCTTTGGAGATTCTGCCATTTGAGTTAGATGTTAGTGATCACTTCTTTTTGAACAACCATCAAAACTAAGACCCTCCCTTGGAGGTCACCGCAGGATCAACGTAGCAGTGGGAAGAACAACAAAAATTTCAAGTCTTTATTTCAGTATCAAATTACAAGTACTTTTGTTGCTAGAAGAAGGTTGAAATCACTTCTTTTCAACCTTTAAAAATTGAACTCCATCTTTAACAACAATAGCTAAACCCTAAAAATAGCTCCAGTTTCTTCCACGTAAACACCACACTGGGAGCTTCTCGTGGACCCGTGTTTCATCAATTCAGTCAGGAAATAGTTTTGGAGCTGTATTGACAACATGCCAGACCATGTTCAAGTCTTGAGAACAGAGCATGGAACACCCCAGTTTCTCCTCTCACCCAATCAAAGGTTTTTTCTGATAGTAATAGCCTCTGTGAAAATAATAATTAGGACCCTTGAGAGAACAGTTTTCCTTACTTGCCTAGTAATAAGACTTGCTTAGTTGACTTATTAAAAATGCAGATTACTGGGCTTGTCTCCTGGAGATGCTGACTGAGGACATCTGGGATGAATCCTAGACATCCATGATTTTACGCATGGCCCAGGTTTGTCTGATCAGGCAATTGTGGGAAGCATTCAATAGAGAATCCGGGGGTAGAAGTGGTCTGGAAAGGCCCACCAAGGAGGGGGTGTTTGAGTTGAGGCCTGAATGATAACAAAATATGGGCGAAGTGGATTCCAAGCAGAGAGAATAGCAAGGGCAAAGGACCTGAGCACTGTATGAGGTTGCCAGGTATGAGGAAAAGCAGAGGAAACCAGGAGGATCACAGCTTCATAGTCAGGAAAAGCTTGGCCAAAGGAGGTGTGAGAGGAAGGTAGAAGCTGGCTAAGGAGTTTGGGAGTTTTCCAGACTCAGTGGGCAGGCGTTGGACGGTTTTAGGTAGAAGAATGATGATCTGATAAACATTTCAAAAAGATCTATTCAAAAAGATGACTTCAACATGAGACTTGAGAATATGCTTCAAAATACTTGAGATAGTTTCTTGAAAATGCAGTTTCCTAGTCCATACCCTCCATCTTCTGAACTAAGACCCAGAAATCTGCTCTTCTACCAAGAAACCCATGGGACTCCATTTTGCTCTGAAGTCTGAACAATACAGTCTCAGACTAGCAGCCCCATAAGGGTCTGGACTCTATTTTATTTATTGCTGTATACCCAATGGCCAGCTTTGAAACAGTGGGGATATTACTTAATTCCTGAGGATCTTGTGAAATGTTTTAATGAATATATAAATGAATAACCAAATCTTTGGTGTTTAAAATCAATGTGATTAGCTTTTTTTAAAAAAATAAGATAGTTTAAAACTGAGTAGCATTAAAAAATATTGTTAGCAGCAATTACATATTTCAAATATTCCCTAAACTAATAAACCATAATTTAAGCTGGTGCTTTAATCATTTTCTTTAATATATGAATAGTATAGTCTGATCTCTCTAATTTGCCTAGATGTGGTCAGAAAATCTCATTACAGAAGATTATTGAGTAGATCATTGTTACAGGTTATAAAAGGTAATAAAGCAATAACAATACTTTAATACTTGTAGTTTTGGAACACTCAGTGTCTGGTCGCATCTATGGTATCTATAATCTGTCATGGTTGAGGGGAAAAGCATATATGAATCAAGGTAAAACCCCATAGTTGGGATATCATCAGTTTTTTTCTAATTCTTCTAAAATTCAACTCATATACATAGACTTGGAGAGTTTTTGCATGTATATTGCAGTAGTTGCTGATGATTACAAATATTCTTCTTTCCTAGGATCAAAAGAAATGCTATGAAATATAATCATCCGTAAAACTTTGAAGAAAATATAAATAATCAAATGTGTATTAAATTATGCTCTGGGTCATAAAAAGCACCATGTAGAAAGACACACTTTTCATAAAGTAAATAGGTGTGATGTATGAGAATCAGTGTAAATTATAACTAAAAACTACTGAGACTTTTAAAGATTCTTGGGAACAGCATGGACTGGTTTATAAAAAAATATTTCCAATATGAATATACATCATTTCTACAGGTAATATACAGAACATTAAATGTAACTAGATCAGTTACAAACCCAATCCATATTGGGCAAATCCCATATTTTACTTTATCTTCAGGGATTAACACCTAGTGGACTTTCAATAAATGTTTCATGAATGACTGAATGGTTGCCATGGTTGATTTATATCATGAAGTTAGTGAGACCAAGTTCATGTTCATTCAACTGAACATCTCTATTTTCTTGGCCACCAAGGCACACTGTGTCTTTATTTCCATCCAGAAACCCACTGTATCCTCATACTATGACCCAAGTTCCTCATAGGTCACCAAAGAAACGAGGCAAGAAAATGTTTCCAGTTTAGTATGATCTATCACAACTTTTCAACAGGTGATAATAGTGTTGCCTTCATCCACAAGACCTGGATAAGTATATATATCTAGTTCTAGATCTAAATTGATAGATATACACACACACAAACATACACACATGTATATACAGACACACATACACAAAGTACCTATTTATATATATATGTCTGAATATATGTATATGTCTATTAATTTAAAAGATATGAATCAATATTCATATAATTTTTATGTAATAGCATCTTATGATTTCAAACAGATAAAAGTTAATGCTCATTATCATAGGCCTGATACACATTATTGGATTTTGAATGTGTATTCCAAACAGATCCTGTTTTAGAGCTAAAAATATTTAAAGCTAATAAATATAAAACGTTTTTTGAAAAAATTATGTTGAAGCTCTTTACACAACCATTTTATTCTACTTTCTGTCAAAGCTTATGTGCTTCCAAGGGAGTACAGTAATTTGTGCATTTTCTATTTTTAAATCTTTCATTGTTCTAGTTAAATATTATGAGTGTATGCCAATTCCTAAAAGAGTCATGCAGAGATAGTAGGTGCAATTGTGTTGTACTCAAAATAAATTCATGGCTAAAGCAAATATTTAACAACTGTCAAATACTGGGTTGCATGTAGAAAAACTAATCCTGTATAGCTCTCATAAATTAAAACTTTAAACTAAACCTTCCTTCTGTGCTTTATAATTAGAAAACCAAATGAGGAACTTTTCTGGGCAGTCCGGTTTAAGAAACCCACCTGTTTTCTCTTTTTAAAAATATATTTTTGAAGTTAATATGTTTAAGTAAAGGATTTCAATGGCTCAGAAAACTGGAATTGAATTGTACACTAGAGAATAACCCTCTCACATTAAATATGACTATGCATATTTGTGATATACTGCAATTTGATAACTGGTTTAGGAGGCATTAATTATAAATAAGGTGAACTGAAAAAGAACCAAGCACAGGTTATGCAAAGAAGACATCACCTGCAGAATGGCAACCATCCCCGTAGACCACCCATCAAGGCTCGCGTCCAATGACCTTTGTATTTTCTCCACATCAGCCACCCACCATCATGGCTTCATCCAGGCCTTTGTCTATATCCAGCTGACAAGCTATACTAAAATATTAAATTCAGGCATTGAGCTCTCTAATCACCAGTCCCATTCTATTAGCCTCACCACATCTATCTTCAGTCATTCAAGGACATTTTGTCTCTTGATTCCTCTCTTGTCTCCCTATTACTACCACCTCGATCCAAATTAAATTCCATGTTACATTATTTCAAAAACTTGCTTCCTAATTCCTCGACCCTCTTCTCCTACTGTCCTTCAGTCTGAGTACTTGAAAAACCCAGCCTTGGCTCAATCTAACTCTTCATCTATTCTGAAATAATACCTATATTGCTCAGTGCCTCTGGAGAAATATCATACCAACTTGCAGATTGGTGTCAGCCTAAATGAAGAATTTTCAAACTCAAGTGGGTTTTCAAAGAGTTCTGACAATCCTATTGTTTCCAAATATTCAGAAGCATCTCTTTTCTTCTTAAATCTGCAGTCTCATCACTCACTCTAACTTTCATCAAGTGACCTTGCTTTCACCTTCACAGGAAAAGAGAAGCCATCAAAGAAGAATAGCCTCAATCTCCTGTTCAGATTACAGAATTCCCTGCATGCCCACCATACTTCCCTCCTTCCCTCCGAGGACTAAGAAACAGTCTCTTCTGTCTAAGCCTAGCCCTTCTATAAGGAGGATCCTATTTCCTCTCACCTTCTTGGGGGACCATGCTCAAGTCGCCAGCTTCTTTTTCTACGATATCCTCAATCTCTCTTTCCATACTGACTTATTCTCACAAATAATGAAATGATCAAGTCTTCTCAAGATAAAAGGAAAAAAATAAAAACTTTCTGGATGTTTCTCTGTGGGCCCTACCCCTTCCCTCTGCACCTTTTAATAGCTAACCTTTCTAAAAGAATACTCATCATTTCCTTTCCCTCACCTCCCATTCATTCTTAATCAATCTGTAATCTGGCTTCTGTCTCCACCACACCACTGAAAGGACCCTCACCAAAGTCACAAATGACCATTGTGTCAATCAAGATTCCAGCAGTAAAGAGATGGGACATTCAAGTTTGAAAAGAATATAATAAACAGACTACTAAAAGCCACTGATAGACTATAGTGAAACTTCAAGGTATTGTGCAATTCTCCAGAGCTAATAAATGCGGGAAGCTCTTTCTCACCCTCGCCCAAAAGGAGGGGGCAGAGAGAACTGCCTGAAAGGACCAGTGACATTAAATCAAGGAATGCACAGCCTGCAGCAAATGCACAGAGAAGAAGCTGGTGAAAATATCCCCATTGATTCTCTTCCCTTTGCCATCCTTCTCATCTCCTGCCAGTCCTCACCATTGGTCTAATTCAAACAGAAGACAGAATGCAATCCCTGGGTCCACATAGGCTGCATCATAGATGGTGTTATACTTCTCTCTGAAGTTTTATCTTTATTCTGAGGGCAACGATAAGCCACAGAATATTCTTAAACAGCAGAGTGATAGGCAGAAGTTGTGTTTTAGAGAGAGTAATCTTCCTGCTGTGTATGGGATAAACCAAAAGAGAGGAGAACTTGGAAGTTGGGAAAACAATTTTGAAGAATGAACAAATTCGGGCAACAGGTGATACTTTATAAGAATGCAAAGAAAGATACAGCTATGGGAGCTGTTTGGAGAATAAGAAGGGCAACACGTGGACATTAAGGGCAAAGTAGAAGAAGTAAAACATAACTAAGATTTTGATCCTGGTAACTAAAAAAGTTAGTTCTGTCACTTACCAGAATAGGGAAGTTGGAAAGGGGAATTAATTTGAGGGAGACATAAAAAGAAATTAGAGACTGCAATGAGGTCATAACGTCTAAGTAGAAATGTTCTAAGAAATGAGCTATAGAATGAGACTGAAATGTCTCTGTGGTTTCTCAAGGGACAACACCTTTTTTCTGACCCTAAACCGTGTTCTGGCACCAAGAGAAGCACTCTAGAATCTGAGTTCTTTCTGTGAGCTGCTGCCTAAATTCAGAGTCCTAGAGAAGACTATTAATGATGGTACACAGAAGACAGAGAGAGATAAACTGCATCAGGTATGTATGTCCCCTCTCTGATCAGAGGCATAGTTGAAAAGCAGTCAAGAAAATTCTAAATCTTTGCTTTTCCTGTTGTAAATCACCAGCTAGCTGAAACTCAGGTTTCCAATGACAGCACTAGTCCTCTGCACACAGCCTTTAATGGATGCTTGTTAATTAACAAGGAGAATGCTTAAAATGAGCAGAGAAGTGCTCTTTAGTATCCAGATGTTGGGTGTCTGTGTCCATGCGTGTGATACAGGGCACATGGCGTTTGGTCAATGACCTCCGTAGGCTCTCCCCACGTGACAGGAGCGCAATCTCCACATGTAGTCGTCACCTGACAAAAGAATGCTCACTACACATAAGGATATTTGGGTCATTTTTTTAAACTGAATAAAACCTGTATTTACAAATTATAAAAACAACTCTAGTCTTTTTTCTCATAACCATTCAAAGCCATTCAAAGCTGTTTTTTGGAGCTAGCTCTTTCCTTCCCCTGAAATGTCGGTGACTTTTTAATTCTCCACATTTGGCAGATGTTCAGAATGACTCTTTTCTCTCATGGATATTTTCTTGGGCTCTTCTGAGATGCCTTGACACCAGAGATGTCTCGTTTACATCTCTTGACTTCTCCAGCTGGTCACCTGTCACTTCTCCTTCAGTCCCTAGTTATCTAACGGGTCACCTCCAGATTCTTTCTGCTGAGACCTCCTTGACCCTCCAACAGCCTTGATGGGATGAACCTGAAAAAAACTACAGATAGCTCTTGTATGTGGTCCCCGTCTGGGCCTCTGTCTGTAGGCCCTGTAGTTACGTCCAAGAGCAGCCCTCTCTTCTGTCACCATGGGTCACTTCAGCCAGCCACTTGTCCTCATGTGACTCTCAGGCATGACTACAGTCCACCCTGCCCCCGTAGCTCCAGGAGATATACACGAAACTCTCTGTGTGGCCTCCTTGAAGCCTCTCTCACCTGACTTGAGGTAACGAGGACTCACCTCTCAACCATCTCCTCACCAGAAAGAACCACACGTACTCTGACGCCTCTCTCTAAAGAATCCTCCTGGAAACTGCTTGCCCTCTCTTGAGCCTTCCAAGCTGCTTTGAAGCTAAAATCAGATGGCTAGCTAAGGGCAGCAAATGTCCTCTCCTGTACTAATCCAGCTGAAGTTGGTTAGCACCTCAAGGGTGAGGTAGCAGTAGATTTGTCACCTCTCGTTTGGGCCTCAGCTAAACCCAAACAGGAAGAACCCTATTTAACATCCTGTCACTACTGAGATGTAGATATATATTAGACACTTATAAAATTCATAAAATTAATATTTGACTGTAAGACAAATCTGGATAAATAAAGCCTAGAAAAGGCTAATGAGGAAAACTGTGACCAGTAGTCATAGTTTGGCCAGAAAAACTCAAGTGCATGGGACATGTTAAACTCCTCTAACCCCACCTGTGGTGCTTGTTTCCATAGAAATGACACTTTCAAACCCAAATTGCACTTCAAAGGGGAAAATAAACTATTCGCTATGTCTACGAGGCATACCTACAAGAGAAAGAAATAAGGAACAGGATTTCATTTCAGAATATTTGCATGTGTGTTTTGAGTGAAAAACTAGAGAACAAATGAAGAATGTTTATTGCAATAAACATGAAGTATGTTCCACAAAATTATTCAGATATTGAATGAATAGAAAAAGACTAAAAATTTCTCTCTTAGCTTTTTTTTTTTTTTTTGATTTTAGTTTCTTTATGTGCAGGAGGACCTACATGATCTTAGAAGAGAACCGACCTTTTAAAACCTCATTTCAACCTCAACGTATGACCTCAGAGAAACTCATTTGCTCTCTGGAAAGTTTTTAAGATTTACAACAGAGGTACATTCATGGAATGAATGATTCCTGAAGAAACACATTGTTGTGGGTTCAATTGTGTGTCCTCAAAAGCTATGGGGGAGCCGTATTCCCTAGCACTGATGAATGTACCTTACTTGGAGGAAAGGTCTTTGCAGATGCAATCAAGTTGAGATGTGATCATATTCGAATCAGGCAGGTCCTAACGACCAACATGACTGGTGTCCTCGTAAGAAGAGAAAAATGGCAGGTGAAGACAGAGACACACAGGGAGCAGAACAGGGGATGACTGAAGCAGAGACTGGAGTGATGGAGCTGTAAGCCAAGGGATGCCAAGGATGGGCAGCCACCACCCGAAGTTAGGAAGAGGCAAAGGAGGACTTTAACCACAGTCAAAGAGGGAGCGTGGCTCTTCTAACATCATGATATCAGACTTTGAGCCTTTAGAACTGTGAGAGAATAAATTTCTGTTGCTTTAAGACACCCAGTTAGTGGTACTTTGTTAGGGAGCCCCTAGGAAACTAACACACACAGAAAAGAGAATTTCAGTTGCAAATGTAGAAACTGTAAGGTAGTTTTCTTAGGAGATTCAGGCCTCCACTAAGTAATTGCCTGATTGAGAAAGTTGCTTGGATTGCTGGTTTTTTTCTGGAGGAGTGGCATTTCCAGTTTTGGTGCTGATCTGTAGACGACTGTTGGACATGGTTGTTTCAGTTCAGCAATTGGTCTTGTCCTTTCTGACTTGAGCATCAATCTAAGTAGTTTCCAAGCCCCGTCGCTCTTTAGCAGTCATAAAGCGAAACTATCTCCCCTCTCAGAATGATGAAAGAGCGCCTTGTAAAATTACTTGTAGAGACATGAATTTTAAAATATTTTCTTTTTCCTCTCATAGGAAAAAAAATCCTTCAGCTTGGGCAAGTTCTGATGCAACATAAAAGTAATGCTGTTAAAATTTCAATCATTGCCATGGTTTAGCAGTGTGTTCACATCAACCACATGTACCCAGAAAGTCTGTCAACTCAGCAATAACCAAGAATTCTACTTATTACTCTCACTACAAAAATCCATGAATTAAATTATAACTGTTTGCATTTGAACGTGTGTAATCACATTTTTACATTATGCTCTTTTAAAAGAACCATTTATCTTGTGCTTGTTTCACAAACTTAAAAATCAAGGATTCTTTCTTTATGGGCTGATGGAAATATTCTAAAGTCAGATTGTGGTGATATTTCACAACTTTTTAAACTTATAAAAATCATCGAATTGTACACTTAAAATGAGGCAATTTTGTGGCATGCAAATTATGAATCAATAAAGCTGCTTAAAAAAAAATATTTTCCACTCCTTGTTGGAAATATCAATTCTGCAGAACTCCTTGTAGGGTCAGAGTTTAGTAACCGACAATTGATGATGGCATTTACATTCCTCTGGTAATAGTCCAAGTAAAACAAAGATGCCTTGCATATGTTGCAATTTTGTCTTGCCCAAGAATGGATGTGGACAAACCAGGACCCTGTGGGATGAAAGAAATTCCAGAGACAATGGCCCTCCAAAGGATAAGTGTTTTTCCTGCAGTGGATCTAGAGCCTGGGATTAATTAATCTTTTAAAGACCTTTCAAGGCATTATCTTTACAAGAATTTGTACTGCCCCCAACTGCACCCCGTACCCCACGCAGACGCACTAATCGCGTAAGAAGGGTTTAGTCAAGCAATGAGACAGTCTGTCTGCTTGGAACCAGTGAAGAGATGTTAAGATCTACAAAGGGTTCAAATCTATGAATGTGACCACTACAAATTGGCCTGTTCCATGACAAATATGTGGGCAACGTTAATACACTGAGCAAGTGGGTAGGGGAAAAGGAGGGAGTGGGGAAGCTGTTTTTTTAGGAATTAAAACGCATCCCATATAGCAGGATAGAGGTGCCCTCCCTTGTTTCTTAAAGAAGTTGAGCTGATCAACAAACCACACAGATTTCACAGATGACCTCTCAGAAACATTGGCACTGTCTCCACACACTTTTACTCGGTGATTTTTCTTTCATAAACAGTTCTCAAGCTACTGGAGTTTTAAGAAATCTGAATGTATTGGACAGTTTTGCTCCTCCAGGACCATTCCACAGGCATCTCCATTCTGCTCTGCGTGTTGGGAGGCTAACTTCTATAGGCTACATCGGCTACGTCCCTGTCCTCTGGCTCTGGTGGGTCTTGGCCACTGGGAGGCCCTGGCAGGAGATTGGAGAGTGCAGGGGAAAGAAGTTGGGGATTCTATTCCTTGGTAGACCACGGGCTGTCAGCAGCTTGGGTCCTCAACAGGAAAATCGTCCTATGCTGTAGCTTTCCATCAGCTCTATCTCCCTCTGTCTCTGGGACCCAGTAACATAACTGCTTCCTTTCTTGCCTTTCAAGTCTGCTGGGGATACCAGTGCTCCACCATCCCTTTTTACCTACTAGTAATCCTGGCCACACACTTTGAAGTAGTCCCTTGATTAATTCCCTTCATTAACTCTTTCTGAGCTTGCCATCCCTTTCCTGATATTCCGAGGCCATTCTTTCCATAGAAAATTTCTGTTTGCCGAATTCCTCCTGAGACTGGCCATTGGAGTCTCTTGAGACTTTGCATTCTTGGGGCTCAGTCCAGTTTCAAATTATTAAAGATAGCATTTTCAGGAAGGCAAATTGACTTTGTATGTACCTATTTAGGAAGTCACAAAATATTTTACACAAAATTACTATGTACAACTAAGCTTATAGCTCATGGATATAACACTGCCACTGTTCACATATTGCAAATATCAAGAAAATGCTAATCTAAAAATTTCAAAGCTCAAAGGCTAGCTTAAGGGAGTTTTCAAAGAGACAGAAAAAAATCTGCAGTTCTGGAAATCCCTCCATATACCCACTCATTTAACCTCCACCAACTGTAATGATCTGCCAGGTTGGGAGGCCAGCGCACTAAATCTCCTTGGTGGAGCGAGGTGCAAGACAAAGCACTAAAAGTCACCTGTGACCCAAATTTATTAGGAGGGAAGTGTTGTCTGAAAAAGTAGAAGTGTATTTACTCTATAAACCAGCGGACCCGAGGGCTGCTGTCTAGAGGTCCTGCCTTATTAAAAGAAGCAGCGATTTGTAGTTTCCATATCGAAGGTCGAGCTGAGCTGGGCAGGGGGGCTTCTGTTGGTGTGGCAATTACAGCGTTTGCACACTTCTCCAGGGCCTCAAACCGTCCTTGTCCAGCACCGAGCAAGGTGCTCTTCAACTGCTTACCCAGCTCCTCTCCTTCCTCCCTTTCTTTCCTTCTCCTCAAAAGATAAGGCGGAAAGATAAACAGCTCTGTAGGCCAGATTTGAATAGCCGAAAATTTTATATTGGAGAAGACTGAAAACTACACTTTATTTCCTTTGTCCTTTTTATTTTTTGCATATTTTTCAATACTCTGCTCACTGAGTGTCTTAGCACAAAATGATTTATTTTATGGTGCAATTTTAGCAAATATGTAAAGCCTGTAGATTATTTGAAAATCGTTTTCCAATAATATTACATAGGAAAGGGGCAAAGCACTTTCATAAAGCTTTCAAATCTACAATAATGAGCTCTCGAATGAAGTATTAAGAACATTGTCTTAGAATAACTGAAATTATTATATTCTATACTTAGGATGTGAGTTCTGATTTTTTTTTAAAGTTGGTACTTTTGAGTAAATCAATGGCTTTACAGATTATTCTCAGAAGACTTATTTCTGAAAAGCAGAATATTTTAGAGTTAGAAGTTAAACTGTTTTTCAGAACAATATAAATCTTTTCATCTGCTCATTGTTCATTCATGTTTGCGCTCGAATTTTCTTTTCATTGCTGTGGTGCAGGTTACTAGTTAAGCTCCTGGATGTGATCACTCTCAAGATAAACTAGTGTGTCAGTATTTCTAACTAAAACAATCAGTCAGGAACTTCTCCTTCCCCTTGATTTATGTTTTTGAGTGTGTTGGCAAATATTTTATACATTTTAATATGTACAATAATGAAATAAATGCATTTAGATATCAGTAATTTCATCTGGAAGGTAAACAATGTCATACATAAATGTATGTATGCAATTTACTTTACACTAAGATATTTGAGTTCTACCAAGTAATATGTTTTTTTTTTTTGCATTTGGAATAAAAATGCTTCCCTAACCTCCTCCCCTTAAAAGTTAATCTATAGCAGAATCTACACATGGATTTGAACATAAAGCTGACCAAATTCCTTTTATTGCAATAAACAATCCATCATCTAAGCTGTTCCATTGTACATAGGTGCTTTCTTGGAAAGGAACTACATGGTACTTTGGGAAAGTACAACGTGAGACTGTCCATGATTAAGGTAACTTAAAATTAGAGGCCATATGTTTAATTCAGTTAGTGACTGTAGACAATTTGTGTGTGTGTGTGTGTGTGTGTGTGTGAGGAAGATTGGCCCTGCTACATCTGCGCCAATCTTCCTCTATTTTGTATATGGGACGCCGCCACAGCACAGCTTGATAATCAGTATGTTGGTCCAGGCCCAGGACATGAACCCGTGAACCCCAGGCTGCTGAAGAAGAGCACCCGAACATAACCCTATGCCGCTGGGCTGGCCCTATGTAGACAAATTTTTATTGTGGGGGCATTTGTTTTCTTTTCTTGGCATTATTCTTAGTAAGCTGGAGCAAATAGGGATTTGGGGACTGATTTTTACAAAATCAGAGACAGTTCAATAATTTTGCCAAAGGATGGTCCTGGAGCCAACTCTCTGGAATATAAAGGTGTATTTATGATTCTATGGCTCTGAAACACTTTCAAGACCAAGTCAAGGGACTCCGTTCAGTGACACTAAGGCAGTAGGCAGGCCATAGGAAGAGGAACAATCCTGTTTCAAAATGAAGTGATGGACCGAAGCAAGCCTTCCAAAACTTTGTTCTTTAATAGTAAGAAGTAACTTTTTGTATCACAACCCAGTACATATTAACACACACATACACACACATACTCACATTTATATACAATTGAAACTAAATTTCATAAAACAATATTTATGGAATTATAGCCAAAGCACTATTTTACCATTCTATTCTATTCATCCTATTTTTTATATGTCAACGACATCCCACTAAAGAGTAGCATCCAGCATTTTGAAAAGCACTGTAATGTGTGTTATAAAGAACGACGTGTACAATGAGCACCTGTTCATCTCTGATTTCCAAGTAGAGGTGGCCAAGAGAATATAAACGTTCTTTGATCAGTGCCTTCTACAAATTCTTTCACTTTTAGCCTCACAAAGACTAAGTTGGAAAATCTAAGACCGTAGTCAGAAACTTTGAACTTCTAATTCATTGAGACCAGTAAATGCAAACTTCTGAAACCTAAGTTGAGTCACACAATCTCATTAGTTAAATTTACTTACAGAGAGGAGGTAGTAATTCATATTTCATTGGTTCATGACTGCTTGAAATTATAAATGAAGCCTCTGCTTCCCCAATTAGAAACTGGGATAATCTCTTACTTCTAGTCACCCAGAGGAAAGAGATGAGATGAAGAGCCTTGCCTCCCTTTTGCCCTCTTTCTGTCTTGGAAGGGGCGGCTGAGCCCTGCTCTAGCCTGAGAATCTTGTAGAAAAATGTTCTTTCCTTTTCACACACAAGGGAAAGTCCAGCATTGTAGAATATAATTGAACAGACACTGGAATGGTCTGTGGACTTCTGCCTGAACTTCTGCCAATAAAAAATTCATTCATTTGGATTTAGTCACAGCTCTCAGTGAAAATAAGTACCTTTAGGAGAAGTAAGTGTCTATAAGCGTCTAAAAAATTGACTGAGTTTATCGGAGTCCTTTGAAAGTGCCAGATAGCTAAAAATAAGTGCAAGTCCTGAGGACTCAGGACTCAGAAGTTAAACAAGCTGAGAGCATGAAGGAAAGAATCTAGAGCAGAACACACACTCAGGCAGCTCCCCGAGGGTCCTGGAGAATGAGAAGTCACCATGAAGACAGAGCAGAACACAAAGGGGGACTGGGAGGGCACCGAGGAGGGCTTAACCCCTGTATTATTCAGTGTAAAAGGCTGAGCTCCTGTTGTGCTATCCCAGTGAGTCTTAACAATACAGTGACTTTTATTTCTTCCTCACATATCATCAATCCAGGGCAGGTAGGCAGGATGCTGTGCTCCCCACAGTCAGGCAGCCAGGCTCCTTCCATCTTCCTTCTCCATTACCATGTAGGGTGTTTCCCTTATCCCCATATGGAATGTTTTCTAAGGAAGGTTCCTTTACATAGAATTTGTTCCAGCCTTGTTGAGGGGGAAAATGCGCGAAGGAGCACATGCTCAATGTTTTAAGACTCAGAACTGGAAGAGGTACACAGCACTTCCATTTATTTCCCCCTGGTGAAAATGAGATCACATAGCCATGTTTAGCTGCAAGGATTGGGGGAGGGGTGGCAGTGCTGGAAAATGTAGTCCCTGACTTGGTGGTCAGATCCCTAGCCTAATTGAATTACTAGGGAACAAGGGGAGAATGAACTTTGGTGGATAGCCAGCAGTGCCTGCCGTAGCTGCTTCTTAGTCAGCCTTGGCTTATAGTACATTTCTGTATCTACTGTCCAAAAGCAGACTGTGGTGTGTCCAGGTTGCTGTGACTATGTATAAAGCTTTTTTTTTTTTTTTTTTTGCTGAGGAAGATTTTCTCTGAGCTAACATCTGTACCAATCTTCCTCTATTCTGCATGTAGGTCGCCACTACAGCGTGGCTCACAAGTGGTGTAGGGGATCCAAACCCACAAACCCAGGCCTCAGAAGCAGAGCACACAAACTTAGCCACTAGGCCACGGGGCCAGCCTCTGTAAAGCATCTTAATGGTGCAAATTTTACTCGAACATTTATCATCAGGTCATTGACTACAAAGCCTTTTGAAAACTAAGCTCATGTTAATTTTAATCCAATTTTTCTATTAACTTGGAATGCTTTACGTTGCTAATATAAAACTTCTGGGACTAAGGCTATAAGTTAAAAGTGAATGTCTTTAATCAGTCCCAGATTTCCAATCTAACTTCTAATATAAATCTTGCCCCTTGAATTTAATATATACTGTAAGAGACAAGGTATGATAGACAAGCCATGAGTTTAAAAATATTGGTTCGAACGGAAATCAGGCTAAGTGTTAAGGTCTGACAATATCATTTATACTCAAAATGTTCTTGCATATAAGGAAAATTAATTTAGGTTCTTTGTATGTAAAACAATGCATGGCCCAGATAAAACTGTCTGGTAAATTTATAAATAATCTAGACTTGAATTTTAATGTCTTAGAAGATACTTTTTAAGAAAGGTTCCTTCAAATAGAATTTGAATTTAAGGGAAGAATCAGTTTTTAGCTAAGTGGAAAACTGGAATTCAAAACCCAGTATGTGGAAGACACCTTAGATTCTAATTCAGAGTGTTTCTTTGTCCATTCAAATCTGTGATATTCTCTAAGAATCAGTGCCCGCGTCCTAAATCTTTACAGGTAGCTCTCCCTTACACTGATGAGAAAAAGTCTCTGGTTCCAACCTCAACGTGATAGTGCTCTAGATGTGAGATGCGTCAGCAGAAGGCTCAAATGGGCTTCAAATGGAATCGAAGGCGTAGAACTTCAAAATCAAGCTTTGTAAATGCAACTTTTTAGCTTGGCTAACACTCAATGAATTTAGCATCATCCCTGGGTTTAAATGAGATTGAAGACATCAACAAGGTCTTTGCTAGTCAGAGTTTTCATTACGAAGGTCTCCAAATGATTTCTCCTACTCTGTAACGTGCTTATAAACCAACCATCACCTTCTCTTTAAACTGGCTGTGATGGTTTTCTCTTTTAACTTTATAGATTTCATTCATTCCTTCCACAAATATTTGCAAGCTTACCATGCAGTGCACTGTTCAATGTGCTCAGCATACAGAGATGGACAAGATCAACTCATGTTTTCATACCTAGTGGACACAGCAGAAAACAGACAAGTATAAAAGTGTGTGACAAAAAGTATCTATCAAAAAAATAAAGCAGATATTCAGAGAACCTGATCAGGGAAGTTCTCCCTGAGGAGGTCACATATAAGCAGGGAATAAGGGGGCAGGTCAGTGAAAATCTGAAGACAGAAATTTCTAGGCAGAAGATAGAAACGCCAAGGGCACAAGATTAAAAAAATATATATGTAGTCTGGCATTTTGGAAGAACAGTGAAAAGGCCAGGATTAGAATGAACTGAACAAAGCGTGAGGCGAGGTTGCAGAAATTCACAAGGCCTTTTAGCCGTGACCAAGGGGCTGGAGTTTATGCCAAATAAGATGGAAACCCATTGCAAGGGTTTGAGCATCGAAGTAACATAACTTTATCTGTGGTTTTAAATGATCGCTTGGACAGCTGTGTGGAGAATTAATGGTAAGGGAACAAGAATGAAACACTAACGAAAAGGCTTTTACAGAAATGAGAGAAGATGGTGCCTGGAATGAGTTTGAAATGGTAGAGGTGGTAAACACGTATTTTCGAAAATCTCCCATGGGCTTTGTTAGTTGCCTTCCCAGAAGCCACCCTCACTTTCATCCCTGGTTAACAGTGCTCTGACGTTAAACTGGTGCACCAGCCCCAGGGGATGAATTATGACTGGTCTAATTATATCCTGACCATCCCATCCCCCTTGTCAGACATTTACTTGCGTGACACAGTGATGCTCAGAATGACACATTCCTGCTCAGAACGCCCTGCTTACCCAAAAAGACTTCAGAGAAAGTCTTCTGGCGATGCCTCTGCGAAGCCTTTCTTCTTATTGACGACAGAAGGAAAGGCATTCTGCACAGCTCTCCTTCAAACCAACAACTTAATCAATATGGAAAAAGATAAAAAGCAGAAATGGGAAACATTTCTCAAAGTGTACTCTATGAAAAAATAAATTTGAGAAACCCTATGATAGAGTGCAATAGGTTTCTTAGAATTTTTTTCAAATATTTATGTGCTTTACAAATGTCCGAGAGAGAGCTAAGAACACAGATTTTTCCAACTTATATAACCATAAAATTCCCATTTGGGGAATAATAATCTGGTTCACAGAATCAGTCTTCTTCAGAACACCATTATGGTATTATTGGATAAAGCAGTGAATTTTGTAGATTCAAATAATATTCTTGGTACATCTACGTGGTACTATGGTACATCATTGATTTGCTCAGACAGCCCACAGAGGGCTGCAAATATCCTAAGATTGAAGTGGTAAAGTCTTCTGAGACAAAAGTAGATAACTTCTTGGGAGAATCTACCAAAGTAGATGTTTCACGTTAAGATTTGAACTCTCAGAAATTTTATTCATTCTCAAGAATTAGAAGACTTATTCAAATCAAAGTTTCAATAAAGCTACAGCTAGAAAATTGCTTCCTGGATTTTTTCCCCTTATTAAATAAACTCATTATGAACTTGAGTTATTATGGAAGCTTCCTCCCTCTTCCCAAGACAAAAGGAAGGAAGGAAGGAAGGAAGGATAAAAGCAAGGAAGGAAGGAAGTAAAGAAACAGCTGATAGTCTGCTTTACAGATAATCCATTCTGTCAGCATTAAAAATCATGTAATTTAAGTAGAGAATCTGAACTACACTAGAAATTTTACCATGACAATTTACAGACAGTTACAGGGAGAAATAGGATTTCTAACTATAATTCATTGAATCTGGTAGTAAAAGATAGCATGCTGTGAAATTTTATCTCATCATAAAAAAGGATTAATATGGCTTACAACTAAATGTCAAAATAGATTTTCATTACATAGTCTAATTTAATTTCTCAGCCACAAGATGTTGGCAAAAAAAGAGTGATTTACACCTGGCTGCTCAATTCAGATTTTCTTTGCTGGCATTTCTGACAATAGACTTTATACTTTACTGGTGTAACCATGTAATGAAACTCATCCAAGAATATTCTCTTAAAACCTTACTACTCATAGTGTGATCCATAGCCTAGCAGCTTTGACATCACCTGGGAACCTGTTAGAAATGCAGAATCTTAGGGCTAACGCCAGACCTACTAAATCAGAATTTGCATTTTAACAAGATTTCCAAGTGATTCATAGGCATGTTAAAGCTTGAGAAGCACTGTCTTAGAAGACATTCTCCAGGTGTTTTACTATCGTTGAGGATTGTGCTGCTACCACCTGGGGTGATCAGCGGGTTTTCCTGACAACTTGACACTGGGATTACAGCTCAACCCCTTCACTATGCATCCACTTAAAATGTACGATCTACAATAGTCTGAAAATATTGTTTAGAGTGCAATATACACACCACACTTTGTGCAGATCCAAGGAAGAAATGTTGAATAGATAATTATTTCATGTCTTATCTATCTAGTCTCACTTTAGTAGGGCACAACTTTACAAAGCAGTATGTATGTGTGTGTGTGTGTGTGTGAGACGAGGAGGGGGGGCGGCGGGGGGCAGAGTGGGGAGCTGCCTAGAATCCAAGTTGACCAATTAGCAAAAATGCAAACAGCCAAGTCTTTAGCCACTGAATTCCCTGGAACAAGACCTTCACTTTGTTGGAAGTATTTGGCTCCTTTGAAATACTTCCATCCTGGATTCTGAACCAAATTTCTGAACCAAGTTTCTCTAAAACCACCCAGTTTGTTCAAAACTCAGCCCACTCTCAAACACATCAGCAGACTATCTGGGTGGCATGAGCTCACTTAAAATTTCAAGAACCTCTGATCCTCTCAGAGCCTGACCTTCTCTACACACCAGTCTATGATGCAGCAACACAACTACGTGCTGATCACTCAGCCCACATACCATAGGGGCAATGATATTAGGAAGAGTTGGCATCTGACAACAGGATCTGGTGTGTTATGTTGAAGTACAATCACGTCCTTGGGTGCCTTCATTCTTCCCCTGCTGAACCCGAGACTTGGTCTTCCCGTGTAGACCCTCTCGCTTCCCTTCATTTTCCAATACTCCTTGTTACAGCTACATTCTCCATGTGAAGTTTGCAAGCTCTAAGATTCATATGTCCATAACCTCCTTCAAAGAACCAACTCCTTCTAAATTTGAAGAGACTGAAGTAGCTGGAATATGTGGCAGGGAAGTTGTTCATGGTTATTCATAGTGGTGATCCTTAGTTGCCATCCTTACAGGAGGAGAGAGGGAACTAAATGTTGGGACCAAAGCTGAGGCTGATAGAGTGGAGATTTGAGTGAGGGCTTGGTATCTGGTAGTAACAGATACCAAGAGAAAGAAGATGGGGAGATAGAAGATGGCGAGAAAGAAGATGAGGCAAATGTTGGCAGAAAAGATGAGTAGGGAAGTGAGGAAACCAGCTACTACTGGGAAAAACTAACGTTCAGAGGGAGCAGTCTTCTTTCCCCAGGACTGATTTTTGGCCTTAATGCTGGTCTTGAGTATAAGCATGTGATGATCTCAAAGGGCCCTCACTCAGCCCTCCCTCTTGGAAGGAGAAGACATGCAGCCCCAGGGTCACCCTTAAGATCTTTCTCACCCAGCTTCCTCCAGACACCCTAAGTGTTTGAAAGCAGTCATATAGATCGTACGTTTCCAAAGAGCCCCTAATTACTAAACCCCCATAGTACTTGACCTGTCAGTCCCATTTCACATGTAGGACACTTTCTTTTTAATACTCTCTACTCTTGGTCATCTGAGACATGACATTTCCCTGCTTCTCTCGTCTCTCTGATGATTACTTCATAGACCTAATTGATGTTTCCTTTTCTTCTGCCTGACCCAAAACTTTGGTATCTTCCAAGATTCTTCCCAAAGCTCTATTTTTTTTCGCATTCCATATGCTCTCCATCATCCATCTGTATGTTAATGATGCTACCAAGATAATTCCTTGAGTACAGGTGTCTCTCCTGAGTCTCCAAATTATCTATCTAATTGTCTCTGGAACATACTCACGTGGATTTCTCTCAGAAAATTCAAGCTCAACACAACCAACCCTGCCATAATTATCTTCCCATTCCAATCTTGCCCTCACCCCATACTTTTCTATTTAGCTCTTTAAGACTCATTTTATTTGGGCTCTTGGCAACTCTCTTCTATACTAACACATCGGTCTTTTAACTACACTATCTGCTTCTAATTTCCTGTCACTCTGATCTCTCTAGACATGTTTTTCTACTACATAAAATATTTTTTTCTGAATCTAATAAAAATTCATACTCCTTAGCATGATATATGATGTTTTTATAATCTAGACCCTGCATACCTCTTCTGTCTCTTCCTGCTGCTCCTAAAAGTTCCCTAAATGTGCCATGAGATTCCTTGCCATCCTCGTGCTCCAACACCCTACCCAGTAAGCAGCTAATCACATTGGAAGATTCCATGTAGATGGCCGCCCTCAGATAAAGCTTTTCCTGACTCTCAGAATTGACCACTCCTTTCTTTGTTCACACATGGAATATAGCACTTTTAAAAAGTATGGTAGTTTATTTATGTCAATCTCATGGATATATACTGTAATTTCCTCGAGTGCAGGGTCATGTCTTGTTTATGTTTGTATTTGAAGCACCGACCAAAGTGTCTGGCATAGAGTAGGTGTCAGTAAATATTCACTGAGAGAAAGAATGAATATATAGGCAGGAAATGAATTCAAGGAAAACAGGGAACTTGTCTGTAATTTACTTGTTGATGTCTAAAATTTGTCACAACAAAGCCAGATCTAAAATGAAATGACTCTGGTAGCCTGGACAGCATTCATGGCGTGGGCTAAAGGAATGACCTCAGAGTCATTCCTGTGATGAGGACCCTGAAAGGAGGCAGATCTTCTAAGGATATGGGCACTGACAAGGGGTTAGGGAGGTTCCAAGAGAAGAGGGGCAGATTTTATCTGTTAACAGATATCTGAGTTACAAATACAGAGGAGCATAAAAGAACAAGAAAGTTTACCCTCAGACAAACACTCTCTTCACTTCAATTCCCATACAGGAGACCTTTTGATGTTGTTTATATGTCAGATTATCATCTCACTTCAAACAATATCCGTAGCCTGTGTATGCCTCCTGTCTCTTTTAGCTGAGCTCTCTCTTGTGAAAAACAAGGAATTCCTCTAAATTGGAGTCAAAAACCATTTGGAAGTCTTGTCTGTGATTACCAAGTGAAGTTATGAAATCTGGGTTGTTGTTTTTTTTAAGACAGTTCTCCTGGCTTTAAAAAAATAGTCTGGTGCTACTGATAGTGTGGTTTAGAATGAGAGTCTGTTATGAGGGCAGTGGACAAGGTTTAATCCTGCCTCATCTCTGTTCTGCTCTATGGTTTTTACTTTATAAACAGCCTCAGGGACTCAAAGTTGCTGAAATGCCCATTGGCAGTAACTACTGTCAATACTGACATTGATCCCAAAACAAGGATTCATTTCAGTCAAACCACTAAAATTTCATTTGATTCAATGAAAAATTTTTTAGTGGAGCTATGAAAGCACTTTTGCCCACTCCCTAAACTATTTCTAGTGGGAAACTGAATTGGATTTCATAAAGATTTATGAACACTTTCAAAATCACTTAACAGCCGAAAGCTATATAGCAACTTTTTCCATGTCTGAATAAAACGTGAGGATAGTGGAAGTGGCAGTTGTAAACAGGCAGGGAGATTAAATTTGGATCATTTCCACCCAGACTTTGCTCCATCTACCGCAGGGCCCATGACTCTGCTGCTAGCCTATGTCTGCAGCCCCTAAAGAATTATGCAAGCTTGCTGGAGCCTTGGAGGGCAGTCTTTATACTATTAACTTATTGGAGATGAATTAAATGTTAGTATAACCCACTCCTAGTTATATCTTGTGTGAATAACCTAAAAATTATTCTGAATAAAGTTTGAAATAGATTGATTTTTACATTTATACCTGAATATAGGTAGGTCAGGTGGTCCAGGAATTATTTTTCATAAAGTCTCATTAAGATCCAACTTACATAGATCTAGAAAGTCATCCAGTTTAATTTCTTTCCTTCAACCTCATTTCCAATACTTAACGCTTATGCATGTGAAATGCACTAGGCTGAGCAGAGTGGCTTCTCAAAACTGCCTTGACAGAGTGGTTCAGAGTTTGCACTCCCAAAGCTTCCTTAATTTACAAGGAAAAAATTGTGAATCTGAAATCAACTAAGCTAGAAATTAAACAAGTGGGTACTGTGAACATTTAAAGGCAAAATTTCTTGGAGGGATCACGGATGATTTCTCAGAGTAGACTCTTTTTCTGATGTCTTCAGATACCAAGTTTCTCTTCTCTATACACAGACAGTATAGGCCCTGAGGGGTATGGGAAAGAAATAATGAAAAATAGTAAGTTTGAATAGCAGACCAGTCCTTGAATCCTATCTCAGTCACTTACAAATACTATAACAACCTCCCCAGGCAATCTCTGTAGCTTTAAAACAGCAAAGCCAATCTACACCAGCTATAAATGCTTCAGCTTTGTTCACAGCAATCGCACATTTGGACCTGCTCCTGTTTTGTCGGTTTCCTCCTATTTCCTGAACTTTAGTTTTGCCTTCTTTTTTCCCCACTTCTGTTCTTCAGTTGAATAGATTAATCTTGGTTTGTCTAACTCAAATGTGAGGAATGTCTTTCTATTTTTGCCCAATTCTGTTCCCAGAGACCCAAGTCCTGGCACCCACCCTAATGGCTTTCCTTCAATTTGGGCCAACCCAGCCCCACAGTAAGGGAATGTAAGAGGGTCAGGAATGTAGTCACTCGCCTTGAGAAAGCCACTTAACACTTTGGAAGCCATTGCCTCATCTCTAAAATGAAAGAAAATCATTCTACTTAACTCAATATTTTCTTCTAAGGATCAATAGAATTAGCGTATATAAACTGGTAATATAAATTTTATTTAAGGAGCTAAGAATAGGCCTTGGTGAGACAGCATTATCTTCTACCTAACTGGTAAGTATTCTAGGTAGCAGAATTTTGACTGCAATTTTTAGTTGAGACGCTTCTAGACCAGAACCAGACATATAATTAAAACTGGTATCTCAGGACTTTGTACTAGAATAAAAACATCAAATAGGATTGACTTAAGTCACAGAGGACTGTGAACTGCAAGTAACTTTTAACACTACTAATTTTTTTAAAAATCAGCTAAGTTGTAGACTTCTGATATTAACTCTCAATCTCTCCTCCTTGAAGAATCAGAGACAACCTTTACTCAGTTGTGACCAAGAATATTGTTGCTGGCATGGTCAGTGCTGCTTCCCACCTGTTGTCCTGACCTTGTTCCTGTACACACTTCACCTCTACGCCCTAATTTGTACTGGAATCACATTAAAGCAACCTGGAGTGGCACTTCCTTTTATTTGGAGTTACTCCTGAAAGATTGGCTCCCCAACTTTTCACATGCAATTACTCAAAGCTCAGTCTGCATTAATAGAGGTTCCAGTCTTCCCCAGTTATACTATAAAATCATCTTTAATCAGGTCTGTGTTACCCCAGGAATGTTCTGTCTTTGCAGTTCTTGTTCCTGAGATCTGCCTGTGATCTGTCTTGGTGTCTTTTCACATTTTGCCTCTGAGTTTTGCTGTACTGATCTTACTTGCTCACTTATTGATGAGAAGAATAATTTCCAGATTAAACCTAAGATGAAAATCATGTCCCCATTTTTTTCCTTTAATATAAAAATGTAGTCTTGGCCACCATGGTGTACCTTATAACATTTCCTTTGCACCATATGATGCCCCTGGGATCTCAAGCTTTACTGATAATTACTTCACATTTACTTTAGTGCAGCTTGGAAAATGTACTTTGTAAATTGTAAAGATCCATACAAGTGCAATGTATTTTTTGGTGATTTACCAGAAGACCACACATATAAGAGTACAAAGGGACATGAGTCCTAGGGAAGGCACTTGTGAAACCATAGTAAAGGAGAAAACTGCTTCTTTTCTCTACATTAATCACTTCTGACACCAAATGTGTGGGTTTTCCACACCTAGTAATTCTCTAATTCTCTGCGGACACCAACTGGGTGTCCTATGATATAAGTCAATTCTGACACGAACCACCTAGAGTTAGCACAGACCTCGTGGGTTAAGGGCTCAGTCCCACCAAAAAGATGCCTTTCACAAGTCTGGGCCTGCTGAAGCTGGGCGTCCCATGACTCCCTCTGGAGGTTCAATAATCTGCTGAAATGACTCACAAAACTCAGGGAAAAACTACTTATGTTTGCTGGTTTATTATCAAGGATACAACTCAGGAGCTGCCAGATGGAAGAGATAGGGCAAGAGATGGAAGGCATAGGGCAAGGTCTGGGGGCAGGGAGATTTACAGAGCTTCCGCACCCACTCTGGGCTCACCCCGTTCCCAGCACCTCAAAGTGCTCACCAACCAGGAAGCTCTCCACATCCCATCATTTAGAATTTTTTTAATGGAGGTTCTATTATATAAGCACAACTGATTAAATCGTTGGTCGTTGGTGACTGAACTCCATCTCTAGCCTCCTTCCTCTCTCCTTGGAGCTTGGGGGATGGGGCTGAAAGTTCCAGTCCTCTAATGACATGGTTGGTTCCCCTGGCAACGAGCCCCCATTCTCAGAAGCTTTCCAAAAGTCACCTTTATCCCTCCAGAGCTATTTCAGGAAGTGGGGACAAAACCAAATATTGTAACAAAAGTTGCTGCTTTCACCTTTATCGATTAGGAAATCACAAGGTTCTAGGAGTTCTGGCCAGGAGCTGGAGATGAAGACCAAAATACATACGTCTTATTATATCACAGTATCACAATTACAAAAAGTTTCATTAAACATTTCTGGAAAGAAAAGTTCAACATTTCTATTCTGCACATACTTAACTAAGCCAACAGATAATAAGATAAGTGATAGATAGATAGATGATAGATGAAGATAGCCAATTATAGATATCGACATATAGATATCTAGATGTTGATAGTTATTCAGGATTCATATTTTTCTCTTTACAGTTGCATCATCTCACCTTCTTGAATGGAGTTATGAACTGAATTGAATGCCCTTTACCTGCCTATCTATGTGTGGTTTCTGATTCCTATTGCAAGCTCTGAAAAAAATAGATTTCTCTAGCTGTGTATGGTAACTTAAACAATAACATTTTGGAAATGGAAATAACTTTACCAACAATCTAATTGAAGTCTTTTATGTTAATAACAAAGAAGCTGTAAAAATATAAGGGCAGTTCTATTGTCAGACTCCACGTCTCCCCAGTCCCTGTATGGTTTCTAAAACTGGTTTTTGAAAAGCCTGCCAATTTTTTTGTGAAGCATGGAAAGAGTAAGAAATATGTCTACAATCCACATACACAAAATGTTTATACTATTACTGTATTGAATTAGTATTACCATTCTTTGGACAGTAATAACAAGATGGGTCTGAAATTGATTTTTTCACTTTTATCCACAATTCTAATGAGTTCCTTATGAACAACATGTGGTTTCAAAACCAAAATAGTTTTTTTAGTTTCTATAAACAGAGGAAATTTACTTTACTGGGTCAATATACTGTGCAACTGTTATAAACAAAGCTGGTTTTCAGTGTGCACCCAAAATAGAACATCCAAACTGTCTGCTGGTCTCTCAATGCATAGACATGAGATGGAGTTGAAATTATTTTTGTATTTGTAGTAGTATTCATTATATTTCACTAATCCAAATTAGAATGCTTTTCCCAAAGTTCTTGTAGGATTTTAAACAATTCAGGAAAATTTGATGCATTGAATTATTTCTATTTCCCACTTTTCATCCTTACAAAGTGGTATAGCGTCTTTCCACAGTTTACATTCTTCCTCCTTACTGATGATATCTTAGTTTCCGATGTTCTCTTATCTCTTCTATCTAGTCTACAAAGACTAATCTCCGTGTTCTTCCAGTTTGGTCTGGTTTAAAAAAAGAAAAGAAAGAAAGTGAGATAAATGTAAGATTAAACTAACTTTATTTCCTTTAGTCCCTCCACAAAACGTTTTGCTACTCTGAAAACATCACTATTACATTGTATAATTTGTGTTATATTCACAACATATTTTGTAAGTAGCTTTGAAATTGTTTTCTGGTTTCAAGTTTGTATGTGTTCTGTCTAATTATATTGCCAGCTATTCAAGAATGAGAACATATCTTTAATTTCTTTTGTGTCTTCAAAGTGCTTGGGACATATGGACATAAACGTTTGTTGTGTGATCTAACTTTACCCATGATTAACCAATTTTACACTTTTTATTCACCATGTCCCCTTCTGAAATGCCTAGGAACTCGGGTTTTCAAGATGAGGTCATGTGTAGGAGAGGCTTCAGATAAGACACTGTTGCATAGCACTTTTATACACAGACTCTAACCTCTGATAATAGAAGAGAGCGATACTCTAAAACTATCTGTGTGTTTTGTGAGCCTTTGAGATCCTGCCTGGACCAGTTGTCAAAGCATTTCAGTGCACAAATCCAATCTTCCAGGTCAGATTACTTAGGAGATAAAATGTTGTCACATAATAACTATGTGCTCTGAAGGGAGCATGGTTTTATACTAGGTTCTTTACACACTGTAACAAGAGGAGCAATTGTTTCTTCTCTTGAACTGAAGCATGAAATAGACTTGGCTTAAGAAGTTACAAAGTATCAGTAGTTTCAAGAGTTGTGAAAAGACTGGTAAAAAGTGAAATTTCTTCAAAATTGCCCTTCTACTCCAGAAAAATTGCCCTGAACACCCCAGCCAGAAGAAACGTCTCTGTCTATCGAATCTCTCTGTCATGTACCATTTTGTATGACATTTGGTACCTACTGGTATAAATAGTTATTTCTTGATCTGTTAATTTTCCAAACTAAAGGGAACATTCCTACAGGGAATAAAGTTAGTTTGAGGCCAAGCTTGGAGAGTATTAAGCCCCAGGCAAGAAATTCTGATTTATTTGGGTTGAGTTGGAGGAGGAACCATTAGGAGTCTTTGAGCGGGGAAATGACATAGTCGTAGTTGTGCTATAGAAAAAAGCATCTGCTTATATATGTCAATGTCTGAAAAGTGACAAGACTAAAACTAGGAAACATTTGTTGAATATTGTTTATTGCCTGGTTGCCCTATTGGAAGGTACATCTAAAGAGGATAAGGATCCCAAGTCTGTTTACCATCTTATGCACAGCATCTCTCAGTTACACATAATAGGTGTTCAATAAATATTTGTTGAATGAGTGAATAAATAAATGTAAGCAAATAGAGACAGAAAATGCCTCATTAACTTAGGTAACTGTCCACATATGAGTCATTGGCTCTGAGCTCGGATTTCCATATAGTTTATTTCTGTAAGTAGTTCATTTCTAAATAAACTACATCGTTAATGATGAGGATGATGAGAAGAAAAGGAGAATGAAGGAGAAAGGGCTACTATTTATGCAGTATTTATTATGTGCTAAGCCTTGTATTAAGTGCTTTACTCACGTTCATTTTCCCCATCCAACCAGACAAAACTTAATGTAAGAGATTGAAAACTAGGCTTGAGCAACGCTAACAAACCGCCCAAAGTTTTGATTGGCAGTTGTGGTAGACGCTGTCGATGCCCCGCCCCTTGGGCTACCTGACTCCCGCCTCCTGCCCCCCATGCTGGGTAGACGGTTTCAGCAAGTTGGCAGCTTCCCAGAGCCTGTGTCTCCAGTCTCCCCCTGAGGACTTCTTCGGCACCTGGGAGCGTACTTACCTGCACACAGGTGCACCTGTAAGTGTAAGGAAGTTAACCCTCCACCAGTAGAGGATGAGTTCTTGGATAAATGCCCCAGCCTCCAGGTCTTGGGGGGGGGAGCAGGTGTCTGAGGTGTGTTTCACGTTTCACAATTTCTCAGCAGCAGAACACTTATAATTGAGGAGAAGCCTTGTTTCATGTTTCTTTTAACCCTGTCATTGATATTTATATTCAAGCATCAGGAAATTTGGTCTAATGTTATAGACCGGGGTAAAAGAATCAGAGCTTCTTGTTTCCTGTTGGGAACTTTATTACCGTGAAAAAAACACAAAAAACAAAAACCCTGATCTTCTATTGTCTTAGTCTGGATCACCCAAGAACAGACCTTGAGACAAGCAATTGGGTGCAATCAAGTTATTGGCGGGGCGAGGGGACACGCACACCTCAGAGGGTTGGACTAGTGGGAGGCAGGGAGAGATGGTCAACATTTTCTCAATCCATCACTAATTGTCTTACATATTGCATGCTTTGCTTTAGTAATTAAAAATGTGTAGTAAAGAAAAAGTAAAACAAGCAAACAAATAAAAAACCTAAACACTACTTGCCAGATGTGTCTATGAATGTTCCACCACCATCTCAGACTCATCTCTAGAACTCAGCTGGCATTGTCCAAACACTCTCCCTTTTCTCCTCATTTCAGCTTTTCCTTCTGGTCGCTTTTTGTTATGTTTTTTCATGGTACCACCATTGTCCCAGTCACCTGGCTTAAAAATGCCAGTCAGATCCAAGTGATGCTGGGGGAAGTGGCCAATGGCGAGCTGTCAAAACAGTCAGAGGCCAGATCATAGGGTCCTTGCAGGCCACGTTAAGTGTGGTTTGTACTAGAAGAGCAATAGGAAACCACTGAAAGGATTCTTAAAGGGAAAGGGAGGGGCATGCATGATTTGATTTAGAATTTTAAAAGTTCACTTTAGCTTCTATGTAGAAAATTGATGGTGTCAGGGAGGGACAAGTAGGGAGACCAGGTGGTGGATTACTGACTAGCCCCAGTGAGATTACTGCACTTGGAAGAGGCCAGCAGCCGGGCAGAAGATAAACAGGTGAGCTTGAGATATATTCTGAAGGTCGAATTAATAGAACTTATTGTTTGATGGATTAAATGTGGGGAATAGGGGAAGGAAGGATCAAAGATTATTTCCAAACTCCCAGTCTGAATAACTGGGCAGTTGGGGTGCTATTTCCTGGAAAGGAAGCGATTGGGTAAAGGAATAGTTTAGACGCAGGTGAGGGAACCAGAACTCAGTGTTAGATGTGTTAGGTGCACAATGCCCTCTAGACACCCAAGTAGAGACATCAGGTAGGCAGTAAAACATAAGAAACCCAGAGCTCAGAAGAGAGGTCCAGGCTGGAGACATGACTTGGGGACTCATGGTGGTATTTCATGGTATTATGTAGCTTGTATTTAGATCTCCTAAAGAGAGAGGAGGGAAAGAGAAGGAAAGAGGCTTCAGAATGGAGCCCTGGGGCTTTCCAACACTTATGATAGAGAGAAGGAGCCAGCAAGGCAGACTCAGCGTGGCCAGATAGAAAGGCGGGCACTCAAAAAAAGTACTATCACGAGAAGAGAGGCTTTCAAGAAGGAGAAATGCTCACTCTTGATAACAAGTGAGAAGTTGGGCGAGCCCATAATAGAATCCTCTCTCCTGAGGAAGATTCCTTATCAAGGATAGAGGTCACTTGTATTTTGTCTTTTATTCCTATTTGAGTTCCTTAATGCAGCTCCTGGAATACATTGGGCATTTGATTTACACTCGTGGTCGCTTAACGACGGGGCTATGTTCTGAGAACTGCATTGTTAGGTGATTTTTGTT